AACTGGGATTGTTGGGTCATATGGTGGCTTTATTCCTAGTTTTTAAAGGAATGTTCATACCATCTTCCACAGCATCTTATCAATTTACATTCCCACCAGTAATGCAAGAGTGTTCCCTTTTCTCCACACCCTCTCCAGCATTTATTGTTTGTAGACTTTTTGATGAGGACCATTCTGACTGGTGTGAGGTGGTATCTCATTGTAGTTTTGATTTGCATTTCTCTAATAATGAGCGATGTTGAGTATCTTTTCACGTGTTTGTTAGCCACTTATATGTTTTCTTTGGAGAAATGTCTGTTTAGGCCTTTCCCCCACTTTTTGATTAGGTTGTTTACTTTTCTGGTATTTAGTTGTATGAGCTGCTTGTATATTTTTGAAATTAATTCTTTGTCACTTGTTTCCTTTGCTATTATTTTCTCCCATTCTGAGGGTTGTCTTTTCACCTTGTTTGTGGTTTCCTTTGCTGTGCAAAAGCTTTTAAGCTTAATTAGGTCCCACTTGCTTATTTTTGTTTTTATTTCCATTACTCTAGGAGGAGGGTCACAGAGGACCTTGCTTTGATTTATGTCATCAAATGTTCTGCCTATTTTCCTCTAACAGTTTTATAGTTTCTGGTCTTACACTTAGGTCTTTAATCCATTTTGAGTTTGTCTTTGTGTATGGCATTAGAAAGTGTTCCAATTTCATTCTTTTGCACATAGCTATCCAGTTTTCCCAGCACCACTTATTTTACAGGATACAAGGTCAATACACAGAAATCCCTAGCATTCCTACACACTAACAATGAAAAATCAGAAGGAAAAATTAAGGAATCAATCCCATTCACCATTGCAACAAAAAGAATAAAATATCTAGGAATTAACGCCCCTAAGGAGACAAAACTGTATAGGGGAAATTATAAGACACTGATGAAAGAAATCCAAGATTACATAAACAGATGGAAAGATATTCCATGTTCCTGGGTAGGAAGAATCAATATTGAGAAAATGACTATACTACCAAATGCAATCTGCAGATTCATGAGATCTGTATCAAATTACCAATGGCACTTTTCACAGAACTAGAGCAACAAATTTCCAATTCTTATGGAAACACAAAAGACCCTGAATACCCAAAGCAGTCTTGAGAAAGAATGGAGCTGGAGGACTCAACCTTCCTGACTTCAGGTTATACTACAAAGCTACAGTCATCAAGACAGTATGGTACTGGCACAAATACAGAAATAAAGACCTATGAGACAAGGTAGAGAGCCCAGAGACAAACCCACACATCTATGGGTACCTTATTTTTGACAATGGGGCAAGTATAACCCTGAATAATGAATATTATTCATCAAGGACTGATGCTGAAGTTGAAGCTCTGATACTCTGGCCACCTGATGTGAAGAACTGACTCATTGGGAAAGACCCTGATGTTGGGAAAGATTGAAGGCAGGAAGAGAAGGGGAAGACAGAGGATGAGATGGCTAGATATCATCACCAACTCAATGGACATGAATCTCAGCAAACTCTGGGAGATAGTGAAGGACAAGGGAGCCTGGCATGCTATAATCCATGTGGTTTCAGAGTTGGACACAACTCAGTGACTGAACAACAACAATCGAGAAAAACTGCAAAAAAAGAAGATTGAAGGAGCTCTTGCCTGAGAAGTATTAGAGCTTCTAGAATGAAAACTGTGGCAGAGGAGTAGCTGGGATGGCCCAGGGGTGGAGACCAGACCAGGGGAAAGGCTGTATTTCTACACCAGGAAGGAGGTGTTCATATTGAAGAAAATCAGCTCAGCTTCTCACTCATCTCACATTCAGAAATAAATAGAAGGTGCAGCAAATATCTGCAAACATCTCGCACGGTCTGGGATGCTAACAGCGTCCCAGGTGACACTAGTGGTAAAGAACCTGCCTGCCAATGCAGGAGACATAAGAAATGCAGCTTCGATCCCTGGGTTGGGAAGACCTCTTGGAGGAACGCATGGCAACCCACTCCAGTATTCTTGCCTGGAGAATCCCATGGACAGAGGAGCCTGGCGGGCTATAGTCCATGGGATCTCAGAGAGTCAGACATGACTGAAGTTATTTATCATGCAGCGAATATTAAAATATAAGAGAATAAAATCTTAAAAGAAAGTGAACATGTGTGTGACCTATGGTTTAGGTAATGTTTTTAATGAATATTGCCAACTAAGAAACTTAAGGAAAAGTGATAAACAAACATGTGACTACATTTCAACCAATATGGACGTAAGGAGGCTGTGACCCCAAAGAGAAATGACAGGAAAGCAGTCTGAGGCTTCACAGCCAAAATACATGAAAAGTGAACATTGCTCAGTCATGTCTGACTCTTTGTGACCCCATGGACTATACAGTCCGTGGAATCCTCCAGGCCAGAATGCTGGAGTGGGCAGCCTTTCCCTTCTCCAGGGGATCTTCCCAACCCAGGGATCGGACCCCGATCTCCCACATTGCAGGTGGATTCTTTACCAGCTGAGCCACATAACACATGAAGAGTTTCACAACTGATCATTTAAAAAGACTGGAGAAGGCAATGGTGACCCACTCCAGTATACTTGCCTGAAAAATCCCATGGATGGAGGAGCCTGGTAGGCTGCATTCCATGGGGTCGCAAAGAGTCAGACACAACTGAACAACTTCACTTTGACTTTTCACTTTCATGCATTGGAGAAGGAAATGGCAACCCACTCCAGTGTTCTTGCCTGGAGAATCCCAGGGACGGCGGAGCCTGGTGGGCTGCCCTCTATGGGGTCGCACAGAGTCGGACACGACTGAAGCGACTTAGCAGCAGCAGCAGCATTTAAAAAGACAAATAAGAGACAATTAAGCAAAGTATACGAATAGGCACTTACTAGAAAGCCCCCAAATGGCCAAAAATAGTAGGGAAAGTTACACAAAGTCCCAAGTAGCCAGAAAATGCAAATTATTTGAATAAGGAGATATCAATTTTCACCTCTCAGATAGTCTCAGAAAGAGGTAACACCTTCTGGTGGGGATGTGAAGGAAAGAGCATTTGCATGTTATTACTGGAGATGTGAATTTTAACTGCTCTTTTGGGAAGCCATCTGGAAATATATATTTAAATTAAAAACACACAAAACCATGGACCCAGCCTTCCCTTCCTGAATACATCCCGAAGAAATAAGGGCACCCTTGAGTGGTGCTGGGGGTGATGTGGACAGTGGGCTGTGTTGGACAGCGGGAAGCAGACCCGTGCCTGAAACTCAGATTCCTTACACAGAGCAACGGCCAAACCAGAGGAATGTGATCACATCAAAAGTGCAGAAAATGATGCGCAGCACAGCTTGCTGTCGTTGCTGTTCTGTTGGTAAGTTGCGCCCGACTCTTTGCAGCCCCGTGAACTGCAGCTCGCCAGGCTTCCCTGTCCTTCACCATCTCCTGGAGTTCGCTCAAAATCATGTCCATTGAATTGGTGATGACATCTAACCCTCTCATCCTCCGCTGACCCCTTCTCATCCTGCCCTCAGTCTTTCCCAGCACCAGGGTCTTTTCCGATGAGTCAGCTCTTCGCATCAGGTGGCCAAAGTATTGGAGCTTCAGCTTCAGCATCAGTCCTTCCAGTGAACATTAAGGGATGATTTCCCTTACGATCGACTGGTTTGATCTCCTTGCAGTCCAAGGGATTTTGAAGAGTCTTCTGCAGCACCACAATTTGAAAGCATCAGTTCCTCAGTGCTCAGCCTTCTTTATGGTCCAACTCTCACATCCGTACATGACTTCTGGAAAAACCAAAGCTTTGACTATATGGACTTTGTCTGCAAAGAAGTGTCTCTGTTTTCTAATACACCATCTAGTTTTGTCATAGTGTTGCTTTCAAGGGGGTAGCATCTTTTAATTTCACGGCTGCAGTTACCATCCACAGTGATTTTGGAGCCCAAGAAAATAAAGTCTGTCAATAAATCTTAGGATGCATAATGCAGTATTTCATTCCTAAAATGAAGTGAATGCATGTGTGTTTGTGTGTGTGTGTGGTGTGGTTTGTGTGTTAGTGTGTGTGTGTGAGGTCTGTGTATTATTGTGTGTGGTTTGTGTGTTAATGAATGAGTACTGTGTGGTTTGTGCGTGTGTGTGTGACGAGAGCTGCCAAATGCCCCCTGGGGTCCCCAGAGGCTGTCTGGGGAGTGATGTCCCCTCCCCTCCTGCTCACGGAGCCCCCAGGCTGAGTCCTGTCCCCACACTTTGCCCCCAGGCTGAGCCCCGTCTCCTGGCTTTGCTCTCAGGCTGAGCCCCATCTCTGACCTTGCCCCCAGGCTGAGCCCCATCCCCCAGCTTTGCCCCCAGGCTGAGCCCCGTCTCTGACTTTGCCCCCAGGCTGAGCTCACCTCTGAGACACAAGGAAGGAGCCAGCCTTTGCGAGGAATAGGAAGAGGGTGGGGGGTCCGGGTCCGGTGGAGGGGCCTGAGAGGGACGCCTGTTCCCCATGCCCACAGCGGTGGGCGCCCTGGTCTGGGTGAAAAGGGAGGCGGCAGGGTGGTCCCACGGCTCTGCCTGCTCTGTGCTCAGGGACCCAAAGTGAGAACTTGTTCAGCACTAACCCTCCCCCTGCCCCCGACACCCACCCCAAGACACCCGTGGCCCAGAGTGCTCCATGCCCGCTGGTGAGGGTGGTCAGCCTGGGCTCTCCGAAGTCAGGACAGGCTCCTGGGGGCCGAGAGAGGTCCCCAAAGCCCAGGGCACTGTCCAAGGCCATCTCATGGGACCACGCCCTGGGCACAGGTGACCAACCGGCTGACTGGTCAGGGACCAGACCCACGGGGAGGAGGAGGATCTGACCTCACCTTGTTCCCAAGAGTCTCCATCTGGCCCGCCGAGTCCCCAGGGCAGGGGGGTGGGCGCTGGAGTCCAGGTGGGGGATGGCAGGGAGGCAGGATGTCCCAGCACCACCCACCCCATCTGTCTGGATGCCGGGGTCTCAGTCTGCAGGGCGTTCGGAAGCTGGAGGAACTGTGGCTGTGTCAGAAGAGCCCAGGACATGCGCTGCAGGGGCTGTGCTGCCGACCTGCTGCCCTCAACCTCCCGGAGTCTCAGGGCCCTGTCCACCAAGACTCGGGCGGCATGCGGTCACGGCAGTAACGAGGCCCCAGGAGACGCCAGCACTTTGAGAGGGTAACAGGCAGGAAGGCCAGGGTTCTCCTAAGGGAGGAAGTAGGCTGCAAGTGTCAGACGTTTTTATCTCTCTCTTAAGCAGCAGGAGGAAACAAACTACAAGTGTCAGACATTTTTCCCTTCTCTATGCAAAATTAAAAGGAGGTTTCTTTTAAAATATGTGCTGCCATGACGACACCTGGTTTCACCTGAACTTAACTTTCCTCAAACCTTGAGCTAACCAATGCCACTCTGTCTTCAAGTTGGCTCCGATCAGTCAGAAGCAATAATGGCTCAACAAACCAGTGTGTTTTACTCATCCAATTGCTCTGCTAATCTATGTTAATGAGACCATGTATTTGCTTGGAAACCTGCTTTTCTTCAAGATTCATGTCAATCATTTTATGGCATGGACGATTCACCTTGTGCCAATGTTATCTCAAAATGCACGTTGTGGGTGAGGGGCCTGGTGCCACTCTCTGAGTTTTGAGACTTTTCCTTTCTCTAATTAGCAGCCTGCTAGTAGGTATATCTTTCTCTTAAAGGCTAGAAGGGAGCAGCTCTTTCTACCCCCTTCTGATGTCTACATCAGAAGCTATCTCTCTCTCTTTTATACTTTAATATAACTTTACTACACAAAAGCTCTGAGCCATCAAGCCTCACCACTGGCCCCAGATTGAATTCCTCTCCCCCGGAGGCCAAGAATCCCAGTGTCTTCATGGCTCGGCAACAGCCTTTCAAAGTCCTGTTCTTCACCTTCCATGGGATCACTTCTCCTTCCCTACACCTGTGCAAGTTTACTTTGAGGATCTCATTTTTAAATGAGGAAAAGGAGTCTTGGTTAAGTGGGCAGGGGTCTGGCAATAACTGTCACCCCCCACCCAGGGGCTTCCAGGCTGTGCCCCAAGTGATGCTGCCAGCTCCCTGCAGGGGCCAGGGGGCTAAAGTGAGGAGACTCAGGCTCTGACAGGGCTGGGACCCTGGGCCGTGGCCAACCAGGCCAGGGCAGGGGGTGACGAGGCCAGGGCAGGGGGTGACGAGGCCTGGGCAGAGTGGGAGCACGAAGGTGGCAGAGGACGGCTGAGAGCAGGTGCAGCACGACTTGGACGGGCCTCCTGACCCTTTGTCCATGATTAACGGCTGGGTCAGAGCCCAGGCAGCTTCCCCTGCGCCCTGGCCTGAGATGGGCTGTGTCTGTTCCAGAGTCAGGGAGGCACCACGTGCTGGGGTCTGGGAACAACCTGGACCCCCACAGCATCCCCTGCAGTCAGTGCTGTGGCCCCCACTGATCTGCTTCCCCCCACAGAATGCTCCCTGGAGCCCTGGGTGTTCACAGGCCTCACCTGGCCTGGGGCAGCAGCTGGCAGAGTGGCAGGGCCAGCATGCACGTGGGTGCAGGGAACCCTGGGTTGGTCCCTCCCACCACGTGGCTTTCTGCACCTCCTGCTCTTTGCTGGTTTTCACTCTGCAAACACAGACCCAGGCCCCCCGAGAGGAAGCAGCAGCTCAGCCACATGCCTGAGGAGGCAGGGTGAGTGTTCCCAGTAGAGAGCATGCAGACACCGTTTGTGAGTATTTTTATTGTTCTACCAGCCATTATCAGGAAGGGAGTTGTGAGCTGACACCCTGATCTTGAACTTTCAGTCTCCAGAACTGGAAGAAAATAAATTCTATCATTTAAACCAAAAAAAAAAGGAGTTGTGAGAGTTAGAAGAAGTGGTGGGGGTAAAGCACAAGATGACTTCTCAGGAAATGTAACTTCATCTTCATTGGCATCACCACTATCATCGCCATCACTTTCACCACCACTACCAACACTATCATCATCACCAACCACCATCACCTTCACTACCACCACCAACACTATCACCACCATCACCACCATCATCACCATCACCACCATCATCATCACCATGATCACCATCACTGTCATCAACATCATCAGCACCATGACCATCACCACCATCATCACCATCATCACCATCACCACCATCACTGCCATCATCACCATCATCACCATCATCGCCATCATCACCATCACCACCATCATCACCATCACCGCCATCATCATCACCATCATCACCATCATCAGCACCATGACCATCATCACTATCATCACCATCATCACCTTCTCCACCATCATCGCCATCATCACCATCACCACCATCACTGCCATCATCACCATCATCACCATCATCGCCATCATCACCATCACCACCATCACCATCACCGCCATCATCATCACCATCATCACCATCATCAGCACCATGACCATCATCACTATCATCACCATCATCACCTTCTCCACCATCATCGCCATCATCACCATCACCACCATCACTGCCATCATCACCATTGTCACCATCATCGCCATCATCACCACCATCATCACCATCATCACCATCACCACCATCATCACCATCACCACCATCACCGCCATCATCATCACCATGATCACCATCACTGTCATCAACATCATCAGCACCATGACCATCATCACTATCATCACCATCATCACCATCACCACCATCACTGCCATCATCACCATCATCACCATCATCGCCATCATCATCACCATCATCACCATCATCAGCACCATGACCATCATCACTATCATCACCATCATCACCTTCTCCACCATCATTGCCATCATCACCGCCATCATCACCGTCGTCACCATCATCACCATCGTCACCATCATCACTATCATCACCATCATCACCTTCTCCACCATCATTGCCATCATCACCATCACCACCATCACTGCCATCATCACCATCGTCACCATCATCGCCATCATCACCACCATCATCACCATCACCACCATCACCGCCATCATCATCACCATGATCACCATCACTGTCATCAACATCATCAGCACCATGACCATCATCACTATCATCACCATCATCACCATCACCACCATCACTGCCATCATCACCATCATCACCATCATCGCCATCATCACCATCACCACCATCATCACCATCACCGCCATCATCATCACCATCATCACCATCATCAGCACCATGACCATCATCACTATCATCACCATCATCACCTTCTCCACCATCATCACCATCACCACCATCACCACCATCACCGTCACCATCATCATCATCATCACCACCATCATCGCCACCATCTTCACTATTGTCACCATCATCATTGTCATTGTCATCATGCTCATCCCATTGTCACCATCGAGCTGAACTGTCAACACCAAGGCATCATCATTGTCCTCACCTTTGTCATCATCTCCATCATCATTGTCACCATTATTTCCTGGCAATGCTTGCCTGTGCACAGCCTCACTGTGGGTTAGTCACTCCATCAGAACTCAGCCACAGGTCTCCCACATCTAACTCCTCCTCTGATGATTTCTCAGACCCGCCCACTTTCCAGGCCCTTCCCCTTTGGTGGGCAGACTCATTCCATACTCCCACCACCTGTGAAGACTTTCCTTCTGAGGTATCGTGGCCCAGACTCACGCAGAGTCCCAGTTAATGGTGTGTCATCTCAGGCTCCAGGCGAGCGACCCACTCTCCCAGTGCATCCAGACAAGCTTGGTGTCATCCTGGAGACAACCATATGTGAAGTGGCTTCCATATGGTGTCTCAAGGTAGCACAGGTTTTCCAATACTCATTGCAGGAGTGGCCATCCTTGGGTATGCAGACTTCTCTCTTACAAATGTAGAAAATTTGCTAACTTAGTGAAAGATTTTCTTTTCCATATGTAGGAGTAATGTGAGCAAGATAAATAAACAGATGGCATCTCTTGTAAGCCCAAGACCCACAGACAAGCTCGCTAACATGTGTTGTCATTAGAGGAACACGTTTGCCCCACAGGTAAGGGGTGGGTGGCTGCAGCAGGTTGCCCCGTGTTCTCCACATGAGGCCATCAGAGCCCGCACGGTCCTGCAGGAGCGCTGCTGCCTGTAGGGTGACCGTCATGGTCTCCAGTAAATCAGCTCCATCCAGGGGTTAAAGAGGCTCCTACAAGCAAGGGTGGGCGGACGGGACAAGGGACACTCCCTGGCCGCCAGGGACGGTGTGGGTCAGATGGGGTGGCTGTGCTGGCCATTGCCAGGGGAGATGCCCACGCAAACCACAGGCGTCTCTGATTCCATCCCTCAGCTCAGGATCGGTGTCTAGTCTTGCGGATGGCGAGTTCCCCAGGGTCCCCCCAGGGATCAGCCAGGTCTGGAGAAACTCTCTGAAGCTGAGGAGGTAACTGATGTGCTTCTGCAGCTCCAAACCCATCCCACACTCAGCAGGGCCTTTCGGATTCATGGATGGGTCACGTGGCCACACCCCACGGTCACACCCTACTTTGTGCTCCGAGGATCCTCAGCCTCTGTCCATGAGTCCTGTCTGCTTGAGTCTTGAGTTTCAGAGAGCCTGTCTCCCCGGGCAGTGAGTCTCCCAATAGTGGGGTCACTGTCTCTCGGTTGCCTCTGCCCCTCTGGGTCTCAGGGACCTTCCAGCAGACAGGCAGAGGGTCAGGCTGAGCAGGGTGGAGTCCTGGCAGGGTGGGCGGGCAGGGAGCTCATCCTGGGGAGGGAGTGCTCACTCCAACCTGGACACCACCCTTCCCCTGTGCCCAGCACTGGACCAGGGTCTCCCCAACACACCACAGTCCCAGTCAGCCCTGCCCTTCTTCCCAGCTGTGAGACGCCCCAACCTGCAGCCAGAGGTAAGTCCCCCGGGGCCTCCATGTGGGGCTGCAGAGACCCTGAGGTCTGCTCTCCTCAGGTGGGGTCACCCTTTGCAGCTGTGCCCGGGACAATGTGCTCAGCACTAAGGGACTTTTCACATTGCAGGCTCTGCTGGAAGGCGTCCCTGGCTCTGAGTGGGGACTCGGCTGTGCTGAGGGTTAATGGACTCCAGCAATTTGCTCTGAAACCCTTGGTGTTGACCCTTCACTGCAAATGAGTGTCAGAGAAAGACTTTAAGAACTTGCTCTGCAACTTAGAAGTGGTCCAGATAACACCCATTAATCCCTGTTTTCCATAGTTGGCAGAAAGCTCTAAGCACTTCTAATACTTTCTAAATCTGACAGTTTTAATTATTTCCCTGCACCATTATTGATCGGGCAAGTCAACCTGTGACTTTGAAGGCCTTTGTCAATACTCATGGCCAATACCAGAACCAAGCCCTCCTCGGCCATGGTCTGGGGCCAGGGAGCCAGGGTGCTGGGCAGGGGGTGGGCCCCCGGAGCTGGAGGGGTCCCCGGTTCTCTGACAGCCTCACCAGCATGGGCCCAGCCGGCAGCTCTCTGGACACGCACCAAGCATATACGGCTCACCTGCTGGGCCCCTCACTCCTGGTGGAAATGTGGGGGACCCCTCTGAGGGAGCCACTGCCTGCAACGAGCCACCCGCAACCAAAGCAGGGCTGGGACCTGACCCTCCACTTCTCACATTGGAACAGAAGGACACCTGAGGACCAGTCTGGACACGCACCAGGGACACGGAAGACGACCAGCAGTGCCCCGGCTGCTGGTGAACACACGGGCAGCTGTGCACACACTCAGACACTCGTACACACGCAGAGAGTCATGCACACTCGGACACTCGTGCACACTCTCAGACACTTGTACACACACTCAGACACTCGTGCACACTCTCAGACACTCGTACACATGCAGAGAGTCATGCACACTTGGATACTCGTGCACACTCTCAGACACTTGTGCACACACTCAGACACTCGTGCACACTCAGACACCTGTGCACACTCTCAGACACTCGTGCACATTCATATAATCATGCACACACTCACTCATGCACACACTCAGACAGTCATGCACACACTCAGACACTTGTGCACACAATCAGACACTCGTGCACACAATCAGACACTCATGCACACGCTCAGACACTAGTGCACACTCTCAGACACTTGTGCACTCACACACTCGTGCACACTCTCACTCATGCACACAATCAGACACTTGTGCACATGCTCAGACACTTGTGTGCACACTCAGACACCCGTGCACACTCTCAGACAGTCGTGCACATTCAGACACTCGTGCACACACTCACTCATGCACACACTCAGACACTTGTGCACACGCTCGGACACTCGTGCATACAATCAGACACTCGTGCACACTCTCAGACACGTGTGCACACACTCAGACACTCATGCACAGACACTCGTGCATACTCTCACTCATGCACACACTCAGACACTTGTGCACACGCTCAGACACTAGTGCACACTCTCAGACACGTGTGCACTCGCACACTCTCACTCATGCACACAATCAGACACTCGTGCACATGCTCAGACACTAGTACACACTCTCAGACACTTGTGCACTCACACACTCGTGCACACTCTCACTCATGCACACACTTGGACACTCGTGCACACTCTCAGACACTTGTGCACACACTCAGACACTCGTGCACACTCAGACACCCATGCACACTCTCAGACACTAGTGCACATTCAGACATTCGTGCACACACTCACTCATGCACACACTCAGACACTTGTGCACACGCTCGGACACTCGTGCACACTCTCAGACACTCCTGCACACTCAGACACTCTTGAACACACTCACTCATGCACACACTCAGACACTCGTGCACACACTCACTCGTGCACACACTCAGACACTCATGCACACGCTCAGACACTCGCATACAATCAGACACTCGTGCACATGCTCAGACACTCGTGCACACTCTCAGACATGTGTGCACACACTCAGACACTCATGCACACACTCAGACACTCGTGCACACTCAGACACTTGTGCACATTCAGACACTCATGCACATGCTCAGACACTCGTGCACACTCACACTCGTGCACATTCAGACACTTGTGCACACACTCACTCATGCACACACTCAGACACGTGCACACTCTCACTCATGCACACACTGAGACACTCATGCACACACTCAGACACTCGTGCACACTCAGACACTCGTGCTCATGCTCAGACACTCGTGCACACTCAGACACTCGTGCACACACTCATGCACACTCTGACACTTGTGCACACACTCACTCATGTACACACTCAGACACTCGTGCACACTCTCAGACACTTGTGCACACACTCAGACACTCGTGCACACTCAGACACTCGTGCACACGTTCAGACACTCCTGGACTCAGCAGGTTACTCCGCTCAGTGGGCCTGGCTCTGAGTCTGCCCAGCTAAGCGCTGGGAGGTTGTCTGCATTTCGGCAAACGAAGGCTGCTGTGGCCATCCAGCCCTCAGCCTCTGTAGCCGCCCTCCCCCAGGGGGGCTCCCCGAGCGGCTCAGGATGGAGAAGAGCAGGACCACCCACCGGCCCTGGGTGGTCAGGACACAGAACAGAGGAGCGAGTCCCATGAGCCTGGACCCCTGCACATTCCCACACACAGAAAAGCCCTAAATTCATTAACTTGAGATTTCTGGGTTTGGGGATTAGCGGTCATCTTTTGATGTTTGGCCATACATTTTTCCCCACAGAAACTTCTGTCTATCCTGGTTCCCCGTTTATCTCTTTGGAAGAGCCCCTGAGAGCTACCCAAGAGGCCATCTCCTGGGCTATGGTCCCCAGTGATGCCTTAGATAAAACAGTTCTCAGCTTTTAAGTTGTATATATATATTTTTTGGTCCCGTTGACGGTGGCCACGTGTAAACACACCTGCCCTCCTTGGCAGGTATTCACAGCGCTCCCCGGAGGCAGCTCCGAACACTATGAATTACTGGGCAAGGGGTGAGAACGGTGAGAATGGGGCAGGGGACACCAGGAAGGCCCACAGAGCTTGTCCTGACCAGGCAATCTGCCTTCAGGGGCTCAGCGGCCAGCTTGGGGGCAGGCGTCACAGCAGAGCCGCAGGGGAAGGCTGGCGCGATGAAGGTCGGCCCTCTTCTGCACTTCTGCCTGGGGAAGCGGGGGTGTCCTTTCTCTATTTCATTCCATGTGTCGTTCCCCTCCCTTCCCTCGGCCCCTCCTCCTCCGGCCTTCCCTCTTTTCTCCTTCATCTCCTTCTTCTACTGAAACATATTCCTACCACCGCTCCAGGTCCAACGATGTCCCGAATTCATCCCCACCCACTCTGTGTCTTGCAAGCCATGAGGAAAACCTCAGATGAGACAAATGGTAAAGAGTGACACGCTCGCGCCCTGAGGTCAGCGGGCAGGGATGCAGAAATGTGCAGGTGAAGGCAGGTGTGCGCGTGGATGGACTGG